GTGCAGAACTAAGCAAAAATGTTTCACAGACATGCAAGAGGAAAATCAGTTGGACAGAAATATTCTCCCTTTTTCTTGCCTTAAACTCTCCCGGATACACATTTATGTGTTGTTTTGCCACAGAGTCTCTATGAAATAAAACCACCCCTCCCTTTGTTTTGTTTTCATCAGGCACAGTAGGTGTCCGTAAGGGATATTCGTAAACATGCCATCTTTCTGCCACATAGATTCAACCCATTTAAAAGGATATGCTGAAAACCTATTTTCAACATCCTATACTTTCAGGGAGCTGCAGAGGTCTGTGGGACTGTTATAGTTAATCCACAGCTCTGTACTAGCAGGAAAAAATCCTTTCATTGGTAAACATCAGCATCTTCATTGATTACATAATTAGAAGATACATTAAAAAATGCTAGGGGGTAATATATGCACAACAGGAGCACATTAGTTAATAAAATCTTTTCTCTACAGTTTTGAAATTTCCTTATTTTACCTTCATTTCTAACTTCTATATTTTTGAGTTCACTAGTCAGTGACAGGCATAAGGTAACTCCCCATGAATTAATTTTCTTCATCCAGAATACAGTGACTCTGAGCAATCGGAGGTTCCCTTAGAAAATCAAATTTTTATACCAGATTGTTCATTTACTTTTTAGTTAGTAGATAAATAGTAGAAGAAATGCAACAACAGAGTCTAATTTAAGCAGAGCATGAACAGCCTTATGATTGCAGCCATTCATTAAAAAAATAAAACAAAACTCCTAATTCTGTTCAAAATTATTCCCTCATGGTAGGATGCACATAATTATACACTGTTTAAAAACACACTCTTCAAATAAATTCCTTTATATAAGACATGTTCCCATATGTAATTGTTCTTTTAAAGTGAGCACGCGGCAAATTATTTCTTGCACTTAAAGCTTTTTTCTCCTGCAAGTTACAGCATATTTTAAGCAAATAAGGTAGGCTTTCTCAGTCCTGTTTTAGCTGTCTATTTAATGTTGAACTGTGACCTAGACGTGCCTGCTTCTCTCAATCAGCTCTAAAGGGAGCCTGGGGTGGCCTGATCATATATAGACACCTCTGCAACAGATGTCTACAATTGGTCAGAGCAATCCCAACAATTACATAAGTACACTTGTTACAGAACACCTATCCAGCATTTGTGTACCTGTGTTGGGTGTTCAGTTATAACACAAGCTGTGATGACTTGCTGGGTGTCTGTCGATAAAGATTTCCAGGTGCTGCGAGACTCAATCACAGGGCTCTAGAGATAAGATATTTCAAACTCCTCTTATATCAGCTAAAGACATTTGACATTTAAATACTAACTCAGAACTTAGATGAAATGAAATATAAAGAAAAGAAAATGCATTCGTGGAGCTGCCTGGGAAATTGTTAACAGGGATATTTCTATGAAAAAAAGGAATAATTGTTGCATTTTTTCTGCTTGTAATGTGATTATCTCAAAGCAACCTCAACTGGAAAAAAATTTATTTGGAAGAGCTACTGCAAGAACTGTTACAAAATGGTATGCTGGGAAAAGGTGTTGGAAACAAACGTTTTATTTTCAGCTTATGGAGTTTCCCTGGTGTAACACAGGGCAGAATTCAGCTTGGAGTAACCTGAAATGTGACTATTTATCTCTTATAAGGTGCTTTCACAACTTGGGTGATGGTGTGTTAGTCATTAGAAAGGAGATGGACTAATCCATCACTCTGAAGCTGGGCATTCAAACACTCTTATTACTAGCACTTTTATGTTTATAGATATATTGTAAATATAGCTAACTTCATATTTCTGTATTTCAAGAGTAACATCACATGCTGGACTTCTGGCTAGGACAACCTCAAACACTGGGCTACAGTTGCTTTTAGCCTTGTCTTTTCAACCTTGGGCTTTCTCAGATGTTTGAAAGGTATCTGAGATAACTCTCACAACACTTGGAGCCTGACTAAATCACAGCAACCCTTCTACATTGTCCTATAGGCCATAGTGTTGTCCAGAGTCAGTACATACTATGTTGTCCTTAATCTTGCTGCCCTAATATAACCTCCCAGGTTTGCAAGGAGATGCTGAAAAGATAGAGCTGTTGCTCCTTACCCTAATGACTACACCCAGAAAGCTCCTGTGCTGTCTGCATATGTTTTGGGTTGCATTAATTTTCTCTGGCCCTTCTGTAAGATGGGAAGGAGTAGGTATACCTTTATGCTAAATTCCGCCCCCACCAGCAGAAATCTGGTTAACAAACACGCCTTGAAGATAGTCTTGTGAGCACTGAGAATGCATGTAGAGAGGTGACAAGAGTGGTGGGATATGTCCCATCTATTTTTCCTCTGATTGACAGCCTGTCCTCTGTCAGCTGTAGCAGTGCCATGGGAAGATGTACTCCCTGTCTCATCCCCACTTGCTTAGCGCTACCCTTTGCTAATGGTTACACTGTCCTCAGGTCTGCCAGGAGCTGCTCAGCTGATCATATTCCAGTTCCAGTTTTGCAAACTGGGCCCAATTCAGCTATTACAGGAAGGTGGCATAGGTCAGTTCAGGAAGGAAACTTCTTTATTCCATATAGCTGCTGCCAGGGGAGGATGTATGTCCAGGGTTATAGTTAATCTGACTTTTGATTTGATAATTTATTACACTATAGCTAAGTTGTCTAAACTGCAAAGACTGAATTCAATACAAAAAAGAATAAACCACAGCAGGTGACTGCTGTGGGTGAATCAGGTCAGGGAAAAGGTTTACTAACCTCTCTCATCAGCAGACTCAGCCCAG